TCGCCCAGCTCTACTGCTAACAAAAAAATGTCATGTTAGCTTTAGATACAAATACCATTTGGTTTGTACATTTTGCTATCTCAATATTTGCAATCATACAATATGGCATGTTACTTAAAGTAATTGTATTTTTGCATGATAAAACTAAACATGTCACAGTAAAAAATATTAGTGAATCAGGATTTAAAAAAACTAATTACATTTTTTTTTTGTTTTCAGTTACTGATCTGAGGATTGTGCTGCTTGGAAAAAACGAAGATGAGAAAACAAAACTCAGTGATTTCATGATAGAAAACTGTCCTCATTCTTCAAAGAAAGTAAAGTCCTTTGATATTGTTTATGGGGAACGAATGGGCAAACCTTTCACCCTGATAAAAACAGGCAACATCCTCAGTCTGCCAGTGGAAAGAGTCAGTCATGACATGAAGATGTGTGCGACTCTCTGCCCACCTGGACCAAACGTCCTGCTGCTGCTGGTGAAGCCGTCAGACTTCAGCATGTCAGACAGACAGAATCTGAACTTTGTCCTGAGTTTTTTTGGGAAAGACGCTTTTAATTATGCAATAGTCATCAAAACCGAAAATTATGAGCGATGGAGGTTTTCTGTGAACCTACTTGAGAGAGAATGTGGAACAAGAATTCACAATGTAAATTTAGATGAAACTGATTTTTCTGCTGATAATCTTGAAGAACTGATGAACAAAATGGAGAATTTGGTGAGGGAGAACAAAGGACGACATCTAACCTTTTCTGGAGACATGGATCCTATGGATCCTCCTCAATCTGTAAAACCCCAACTGAACCTGGTCTTGTGTGGAAGACATGCATTCAAGAAAGCTTCAGTAGCTCGCGCCATCCTGGGAGAAAATTATTCTGGTGATTCAGATATTATTAGAAATCAGGGAACTGTCTGTGGGCATCAGGTGTCCATAATGGAGCTTCCTGCTCTGTATGGGAGACCAAAGGCAGCAGTGGTGAAAGAATGCTATAAATGTGTTTCCCTTTGTGACCCTGAAGGCGTCCACGCCTTCATTTTGGTCCTCCCATTGGACTGTCCCTCTGAGGAAGACAAGAAGGAGCTGGAAACCATTCAGGACATCTTTAGTTTAGGAATCAATAATTTCACTATGATTCTTTTTACTGTGGAGGCAACCGACAAACATTCTGCAGCGCTGAAGTTTCTGAGGGAAAATAGAGATATTCAAGATCTCTGTCAGAAATGTAAGGAACGATATATGGTCTTCTACACCAAGAATCAGATCTCTGAAGTGCTGCTATGTGTCCAAACAATGACAAAATTAGGAACAAGAAGTTTTACTAAAAATATGTTCCCCAAGCCTCCGTTCAACTCTGGGACCAGTTTCAATGAGTACAGACCGAATCCACAGAAGGTGCAGAGGATGCAGTATCCATTCAGGGATCAGGGTCTACAAAATGACTCTGGATCAGGGATGATGCAGATCCTAACTATAAATCAAAATCCATTCATGTCGCAGAGTACAGAGCCTCTCCGTATGGTGTTGATTGGGAAGACTGGTTGTGGTAAAAGTGCCACTGGAAATACCATCCTGGGCAGGAAGTGCTTTTCGTCAAAGGTTTGTCAAAAATCAGTGACAAGTGCTTGTCAGAAAGAGACAGGAGAGGTCAATGGTCGTCCTATTGCTGTGGTGGACACACCAGGACTGTTTGACACATCTTTGCCTAATGACCGAGTCAAACAAGAGCTGATAAAATGCATCAGCTTGTTGGCCCCCGGACCTCATGTCTTCTTACTCGTCCTGCAGATCGGACGCTTTACAAAGGAGGAAAAAGAAACCGTGGAACTGCTCAAGGATTTCTTCGGAGAGAAGTCAGTGAACTTCATCATTGTTGTGTTCACCAGAGGAGACGAACTTAAAGATCAGACATTTGACAGCTACTTAAACGAAAGCGAGGAATTTGTCGAAAGGCTGATCACTGATTGTGGGGAGAGATATCAAGTCTTTAACAATAATGACCAAGAGAATCGAGTTCAAGTTACAGAGCTCCTCGACAAAGTGGAGGCAATGCTAAGGAGAAATGGTGGAAGCTACTACAGTTCAAAGCTCTTCAGAGAGGCAGAAGAAGCCATACAGGAGGAAACCAAGAAGATACTGACAGAAAAGAACAAAGAGCTGAAGAAAAAGAAAGAAGACTTTAAAAAAGAACTTCACTATAAAATGCAAAATAAGAGAACCACACAAACAAAAAAACTGGCCAAGTCTGAACAAGGATCAGAACAGAGCGCCCAAAGGGTCAGGGAGACAGAGGAGAAATGTATGAGGGAGGAAGAGAAGATGAAGATGGAAAAAAGAAGAAGAGAAGAAGAAGAGAAGAAGAAGAAAAGGGAAGATGAGATGCAAGAACACGAGTTTGAGCAAAAATATGAAACCCTGCAGATGAAACAGCGATCGAGCAAAATATTTGCAGAGAGAGTTTTATTAACGCAAAGCAGAGAAGACATGAGGAAAGAAAGAGAAGCTTGGGAACAAGAACGGAAGGAATGGTGGGAAAACAGACATCGTGAGGACATACAGAGACAAGAAGATGAGCAGAAACGACTCCAAAAGCTAAGAGAAGAATATGAAGAGGAAAAGCATAGATATGAAACAAAAAGGAGAGAAGAAGAACAAATCCGAAGGGAACAAGAGGAAATCGAATGGAGAGAAGCAAGAGAAATGTTTCGCAAGCAAATGGAGGAATTAGAGAGGAGAAATTATGAGGACGCTAGAAAACAAGCAGAACAATGCAATGATTTCAGGAACAAGTACTCCGGCGATGTCTTGGCTGAGATGAAAAAAATTGGGAAAGAAATAAAAGACTTGAAGCAGAGGGAGCAGGAAAAAAATGAACAAATGATAAAGCAGCTGATTAAAAACAAAGCATACCAGAAAAGTTTCGACAAGCTGTTGAAAAACCATGAGGAAGAAATAAACAAACTGAAATCATCACTTTGTTTCCACAGTGAGACATATATCAAAAACAGAATAAGTGAGCTGAAGGAGACCCACCACGAGGAAATAAATGAGTGGATACAGGAACAGGTGAAAAAGGCTGCAGAGAGGAAAATGTGCAGCATTTCATGACACTTTCTTTCTCCCTGAGAGCAAAA